TATATAATCAGCATCATTCTGTCACAGATGTTTTATTTACAGAAATCTTGCTGAATTTTCTGAGTGCTTTGTTTGCATTGAATCTGGACACTTGTTTAGACTTATATTCAGTGTATTTGGAAAACTAYTGGAGTGAATTATTTCTACTTGCATCATTTGATAAAGTTCAGATATATTTTTAAAAATTGGTTTTATACTTTGCAATGACAACCTTTTAATGAAAACAATTCTGTTCTGTAACAAATTGTGTTGCTTTAAAAGCAATGATTGCTGTGCAAAACATTTTATAAAAAAAACATAGACACATCCGTGGAATCACCCGAGCCCGTTGAGTAAGAAAACTTTTATTTATGTTAATTATCTCCAGAATAAAAAATATAGCAGACCCTCAATAAGTTTAGAGAGTTTCCCGTTTCTCTCTTTTGATTCTACTGCAAAAAGCTACACAGGGATTTATTACGAAATTATTCATCAGGTTTTGATGATACTGAACTGTGTTGTACTTTAATAAACATTGGCTATTATGCTTCAGCTTCATTTATATGAATACAGTTTTATAAACGAAAATGACTTTTTTTTGTCAATGTACATAGTAAAGTGAAATCAGGAGATTTTTAATCGGTAACACCTGACACACAAAATAAAACAAAATTTGGCCAAACCAAGTCAAATTTTGTTGTCAAATCTGCAATATGCATAGGACATACACAAGATTGAAATTATGTTACTCTCAGACCCACTGTGCAATAAACATCTAAACAAATTTTAAGATTAAAAATTGAAAAATTTTACCAAACTGCTGTGTAAAAATGTGTTGGGATAATTGTCTCACAAAGGTCCCTGATATTGGTATCAGATTTAAAGTGACATGCATGGAGAGTCTAGTGTATGTGCACAGTATTTGTATAATGTCCTTGATTTTGCAGTGGGTTGGCATTGAATATGGCTTACACGTATAAATGATTAAAGTAAAGTGAAGAATGCAAATCCAGTTCAGTGTTAAAATGTTGRAAAAAAAAAACCCAAAGTTTATGTATGACGGGTTGAGAGAGGTAATCATCTTGACTGCCTGATGGACGGAGCTGACCCTCAGTCTTCTGGTTCTAGCCTTGAGACTCTGTAGTCTCCTCCCTGATGGCAGCAGGCTGAAGAAGCGGTGCAGTGGGTGTGTGGGGTCACCCACCACCATGCAGAGGGCTTTGTCGAGTGAGGCGTGTGCTGCKTAGGTCATGGAGGGAAGTGACAGAAGTGCAAAGTCAAGAACTGCTTCCTAAAATGCCAGAGAGGCAGATTTGTGTTTGTTGAAGAGCATTACTGTGTTAGGAAAGAAATTATTTGTGAGTCTAGTAGTTCTGGATGTAGCCTCTCCCAGAGTGCAAAGAAATGATGATCAGGATAAACGACCCTTGATCCTGTTGGTGTCTCTAGAGAGAATGGGACTATTAAAATGTAAAATGTTTTTAGAAGCCCTGTCACAAAACMTTTTATACAACTTATGCCAACTTATGAACATTTTGTTATGAATAAATTACTCATATAGGTTATATTTGTTCACCTCGTTGGCATTACAGTGTTTACACATTCAACAGAGGCTTCCACTAGATTATTTTTCTTCCACCTTCAGCGTAGACATATTTGGTGTAGGGCAAAACTTTTATAAGTGACTGCAGACCAGTCCCTTATGATATAAGTTGTCAAAAATGTAGTAGTGTAACAGGACCTTTACATGTGTTCTTGTCTCAACACAACAGGACAAAAACTGAACAGATGAACACGATGTGCACTTTCTGCTTACTTATCTGAAATCCTAGCAGACTGCATTATGCTCTTCTTCAATCTGTTGTGGTTATTTTCCAAGATGACAATCTTCAGAAATGTGTGAGGTACATGTTGTTTTAAAGGAAGCCAATTTTGTGGGAGTAGGGAAATCAAACAACTAAATCCAGAAAAGGACTAAACTGATTTCCTTCTTAAACTTGTGATACTACCAGCAACTGAAAACCACAAAGGCTGTGAGGGATTAGTTTCCTGTTTTATATTCTGCTGTGCTAATAATCCACATCAGCCTGGAGGCTTTCACTTATCACAGCCAGCAGACAGGGGGAAATATTTGAATTAGCTTGGAAGCTGTAAAATAAATAAGATGAACTGAATCAAGTGAAGTGTCGACAAAATATGTTTGACTTACCTTCCCAACCTCAGAGACACCCCATCCCATCCCCAGCACATGTCTCTGATCTTCACCTTTTTAATACGGTTTCCTGGAAGGTTTTAGATCATTTCAAGTTTGGCTACATTGCTTCTTTTTATCTGATTTAGCATCTCTATAAGCATCACACCATTCCTGTTCTTGTGTCTTCGCAGACGTAATGGAAGACACTCATTTTAATTCCTCATATTTCTGGTCTCCAGTCCCAGCTGTGCCAGGACAGGTAGGGTTGGATTATTTAACCATCAGGACCTGTGATTTTTTTAAATGGTCCACAACATTACTCACAGCAGATCACATGGAACTGATACAGGATGAAATTATCTCCTGTCCCCAGCAGATTGAGAATGCCGTGTTCCTGAACAAAGTGAAAGATCAGCAGGAGAAGAATGCGTCATTCCCTCCTTCCTCGGCTCCCCACTACCAAACAACTCTCCTCACCATCCCGACTCCCGGGGCCAAGACAGATGGAGGCAGTCTGGCTGGTGGTGCGGCGCACCTCCACGCTCCTCACAGCACCCAGAACATCACGGTGTTGCCTGTCCCCTCCACGGGCATCATGACAGCAGGTAGGCCTGTTTCTGCTCGGAGAAGCCTTCAGGGGGTGTCTTTCTCCGTTTTTGCGGACGTAACAGCCGATAATGGTTTCAGAACAGCAGCAAAGTTTATCCCCGGCTCATAACAGCAGGGCGTTAAATGATTTAATCGACAAGAACAAATGTTGCTAACAGGACAGCTTGAAGGTAAAGTGAACACCTGCATGTCTCAGTTCATGATGCAGCCACGGGACTCCTCTCAAAAAGCATTCAGAAGCCTTGTGATGCCAGCAGACTCTTCTTGTTATTCTGTTTTAACACTTGCAGGTTCAGCATCTGATATGAAATATGCATTTAATAATAAATCTTTAAAATGTAATTGGACACAGCTCACATCAGAAGAATTCTTTCCATCTTTCTTTTCTTTCTTTTCACGCAGCTGGTTTGGTGATTACGACTCCTCAGGGAACGCTGGTCTCTCCCACCTCCTCCCAGTCGTTTGTCTCCGGTGCTCCAGCGACAACCATGATCGTGTCAGCGCTCCGTTCTCCAGGTTTGTGCATCGTGAATGACTGTAGCTGAAGGGAGTAGGTGAGRTGGTTTCTTATCAGGCTGTGAGTTATTTGTAAGCAGCATTCATGAGAGSCCATGTGTCTTCAGAATGTCCTGTGACTTTTGTTGTTGTGGTTCTCTACTTCCTTGCACAAGTTGCAGAGGCAGGCAGCCTCGTCTCGAGTACTGAACAGGTTCATGGTGCATCATGGTAGCCCTCAAAGCACCACTCGTAATTAACTTTGMCTAAACGTTGCTACGGTTGAGCACCGCTAACAAACAATAACTGAGCTCTATGTGGTATTTCCTGCATAGAAACAGCATTTTAACACGTCCTCTTATGAACACTGAAAAGTACAACATGTACGACTGACTAAATGTGAAATAAATACTCCTGAAATACTATCAAAGTAAAAGAAAGTATTACTCCCTGAGATGTGGTGAGACTCCACCATCAGGAATTCTGAACTTTCCCACTTTCTGACTGGGAATTCTCCTAGTGGGTGTTTGAATTTAAATTTATGACTTGTAAGTGGGAAATTCCCACTTCCCAGTTCAAATGGGCTGCAGCAGTTGTACTTGTCGTAAATGCAGTTAAATGGAGATTAAACACRGTGAATTTCACCGGCTACTTTTGAATCCTGAGCACCTCCATCTGGTGGTGGGATGTCGTCATTTTGCAGGTAAAATAATCAACATGCATTTTGGGAGATATGGGAGACAAAGCTTGAGACATTCTGTCCTAAATTTTTTAATGATGCTCACTGAAAACTTTACCTCTGCTTCTACATTCTTATTTTTAGCCTTATGTCAAAATATCACCAGACCGTTATGTTGAGGATTAGATTTTTTACTGGAGAGATTTGAGCCAGGCAAACTAGGACACTAATGGGTCCTCAGAAAGAGGGAGACGGGGTGAGATTGATCTGCATAAATGGAGCATCTCGTGCAATTTAAAACCTCAAACCTCACACTCCAGTTTTGATTTGGACAAAGCCTCAGAAGGGAAGTGAACTGACTTAAACCACAGATTAAAAGTCCAGTTGCTTTGATTTTGGACAAAGCAAACCATTTGAACTTTGTCCTAAATGACTGAAAATCTACACCAGCATAGTGAACAGATAATTTGAAATGTAACCTAACTTCCTGTTKTAGACAAAAAAGAAGGCGACGCAGCGTCCCACGTGGTCGTGATGCAAGCGCCCTCCAAACGAGGGAGGAAGAAGGGGGCACTGTCGAGGGTCGCTCCTGTGGGCAGACCAGGAAAYGACTCACTAATACTGACACAGCTGACTCCTGGTGGGCAGGTGAGCACGACTACAGGAGGACAGAAGGAAGTTTGACAGGATAAACTAGTTATAAGCTTCTTTTGTTTAATCGTTTGAACAGGTTACATCATTTCAGCACCACACAGGACTACCGTACGAGCTGTCAAATGACGATAACGGCCCAAAAGATCCCACTAAAACATACAGGTATGGTTTCAGCCGCTGTGCATCCTCCCTGTGACTGCATAGATGTTCAGCTTTTAGAAAAGAAATAAGCACACAAACACACACACACACAGTAAACATCCCTCTCTGCATGCTGTGGCTGTTTTAGAGCTGAGGCTGGATAATTCATGTATTTGAGAAAACAAGTACATCGCTACTTCGTAGACGCTCTGCTTCTGCAAACTGAACACGAGTCAGTTCTCTATCTTTTTTTTTACTTAGTATCTTTTTTCCACTTTTATATGATCTGCACATTTATTTTTCCTTTTCACTAAAATTACCTCTCTTCCATCTTTCTGTATTTTTTGCGTGTGCCGAACCTTTTTAATCCGTTTTTCTTTATATTTCCCGTCGTTTTTATCACTCATTACTCCATTATCTTTCCTCTTTTATTACCCCATCCCACCCTCCATCCCCCCGTCCTATCTTCTGATGTTTTTTTGTTTTTTTTATCTATATATGTTGTCTCCTTCTTGGTTTTTGGTTCCTCCATCCCGCCCTCCCATTTCTGTGTCTCTCCGCCTGTAGGTGCCGGATGTGCGCGGCGACCTTCTTCAGTAAGTCTGACATGCAGATCCACTCCAAGTCGCACACAGAGGCCAAACCTCACAAGTGTCCTCACTGCGCCAAGTCATTCGCCAACTCGAGCTACCTGGCCCAGCACATCCGCATCCACAGTGGAGCCAAGCCTTACACCTGCTCTTACTGCCAGAAATCTTTCAGGCAGCTCAGTCACTTACAGCAGCACACACGGTACTGCAGACCCCCCCACCCCCACCTTCCTTTCTTCCTTCCTCTGTTATCAGCCCGTGTCCTCGTAACCTGTCATGCCAAGTCCACTTTAGGAGCCCAGACTCATGTCTTCCTCCTCTTCCTCAGGGAGAAGACAGCTGAGTGGTGGGCAGATGCATATTGCACTCTGCATGTTCCATCCTGTGACCTTTTCAGACAGTCAGAATTCAGATTAGACCTTTCATTCTGTAGCTCTGCCCATTAAAAGAAGAGTTTTTTAAATATAATTTATATAATCAAACATTATGGAGTTAGAATCTTTTCCTTCTTGTTTTTTTGTCTTGTTTGTGCTTCTTGCTTCCCTGCATTCTGTTTGCATCCTAWTTTTTTCTCTACATCTCCTGCCTTTATTTTCTTGCACCGCTTCATTCAGAAACACACATTCACATTTTCARTTACACCCAAAAACAGKGACTTATTCTTCCCCATGACTAACSCATTACATAATTTAKTTTCCTTCATYGAACTGTGATGTGAAATAGAAACTATTTGCTTTAATGCTCTGCTTTTATGTTAATATGTTTGTTTTATTTTTCTGTTGGTTTTAAGTGAATTTTCAGTCGACTTTGGTCTCATGTTGATCTGAGTTGTAAAACTTTTTATGTGTGTTTTCAAAATGGCAAGGTTTCCATTCTGTTGCTTCCTAAAATAACAYGTTTTTTCAAGATGTGGGAACTGAGGATTTTATTGTTAATATTTTACAATTCACTAACTGTTCAGTGTTGACAGGTCTCAACTACAGACAGTTGAGTTTAGCACTAAAACTCTTCTGATCTGGAGCTAAATTGTACTGAATTTGAAAAAAGAAATATTGAATTTTATTTTGGTGACATTATCTCAAGATACAGAGTTAACCGTACTGGCTTTAATTATAACAACTTTTAACAACTATGAGACCAAAGTGCTGAACAGTACAATAA